ACGTGCAAGCGAGATAGCACGTGTGGCGTACGTGCAAGCGAGATAGCACGTGTGACGTACGTGCAAGCGAGATAGCACGAACGGCGTGCGTGCGAGCGAGATAGCACGTGTGGCGTACGTGCAAGCGAGATAGCACGTGTGGCGCACGTGCAAGCGAGATAGCACGAGTGGCGCACGTGCAAGCGAGACAGCACGGGTGGCGCATGCGCAAGCAGGATAGCAGGAAGAGACAGTGAGGCTTGCGAGGTATATATATATATATATATAGGTATATATTTTAATTTTAACAGTTTTTTGCTACTATTGTACAGCCAAAACATCCTTAACACGGACTCTCGATTTTTTTTTGTTAGGAATATTTTACCTGATTTTATTGTGTGCTGAAAAATATTGTGTTTCAAACGAAGGATTATTTTTCGGGGTTTCGGCAAAGATTCTTGAATTATGACTGTTTTCTTTTTAAAGCGTGTTATAAATACATCTTGGGGAAAATATATATTTTCATTTCGCACAAAAGAGAAATGTTTCTTTGCAGCGGGGTAAATAAAAGTTTCGATATTGCACGCTGTTACTGATATAGGATACCATCGGCTTTTGTTGCAGGAATTCCTATTGGCAATCGACGTAACGTCCAGCGGTACACCGGAAGAAAAACTGAAATGGGCGTTCCGTATGTACGATGTTGATGGCAACGGCGTTATCGATATGCAAGAAATGACGAAGATCGTCCAGGTACTGCGCTTCATGAATAATGCATGCGCTTCGATTTATCTCCACTTGGTTGCACTCGACCGCGACTCTTTTGATGGAACACAGAATTTTTTTTTTTTTTTTTTTATCACTTGACGTCAGAGTACTGCCGGCACGATTAATCAATGAGAGAGTGAGCGATTTGATATAATATTCATATATAATATATTCATGTATGCGGCACGAATCCTGCCTTTTTTTTCCTGTCGTGTATACAAGTTTATATTTTACTGCACGATGCGTGTATAATCTCGCTACGTTTTTTTCAAGTTAATAAAAAATTTATAACGTATGTATAAAAAACATACACACGACATGAATTCGTGTTATGAATTTTAACGGAATTAATTTTCTCTTATTATATTTGCTAATGTAACGAGATCGCGCGAATATAATATATTCAAGAAATTCTGAAGCCTTGAATTCGGTCGAACAAGTCGATTCGTACGACGGTTAATTAACGCGCATCTGCAAACTGGCAGGACTATAAATCAACGCTGTTTTTCTCCGTCCATTCGGTGCATCCCTGCAGAGTTCTTACGTGCATTGAGTGGCAGTGTATGCAGCGTTATACGGGCGCGCTAATATTTCATGAACACCACGCGAGAACAGATGTCGACGTAGTCGCGCGGCTATTCCACTTGACGTCGTGCATTTCCCAGAAATGCCAGAAGCGAAGCTTCGTTAAATACAGCTGTCGCTTCTCATTTTTAAATAAGTAATTAAAGTTCGCGGTGCTCGCGGTGACCTGGCGAACGGTAAGCGAGACGAGCGGAATTTTTTCATGAAACCTTGCATAATGAATTTCTGTTAAGAGATCATGATCCGCATTCCTCGCATGAAAATTCGATTTTTATAATATTTAAACAACGCAACGTGAAGTTTTATGATTCAATCGGGCAAAATGCTATTTATAAAGCTCAACTCTCACTAATTTCGTCGCGGTTACGTAAGTGTCAACGAAAGGAAAATATTTTAATGTATTACAGTAGAATTTTAATCGTGCAAAAAAATAAAATAAAGAAAGTCGTTGACAAAAGAGTCTAAGTTTTTTTAAACGTGCAAGATAATCTAATAATATGTCAATTTTTCATTATCAGTATATTTTATATGAGAAACTTGGAATTATTCTGCGAAATAAATAGGACATAAAGATAAAATCATGGCAGAGAGAGTAATTATTGCAGGCGTGAATCCGGATAAATAGAGGAATGAGAGGCTTATATGCAGAGCGCGGAAAATTGTGATAAAATGCAGGGACGAGATGTCGCGTATCTTATAAAAGAATATTATTACACCACCATATATTTTACTTTACATTTTAATGCACTTTTTCATTACTTTTTCAAGTTAATTTTTACCAGGCATACATGTTTGTATGGTAAAATTTTACTCTTGTTGCAATAATATAACTATAATTGACAAATTTATACAAGAAATGGAATAAAATATTTGACAAAAAATTATAATAAAAGTAATAAAAGATGATAATGATAACGTCGATTCCTTCGTTAATATGTTAATATAAAATTCTCCCTTAATACGATTTTAGAATCACATGTTATCAACTTTTAAATGTCAAACATAAATATTTTTTTTAATGAATATATTTAATTTGTGCAAAATTCCAAAAACTTTGGCGCCACGTTTTGAGTATGAGTTGCGAAGACAACTTTTTGATGAGGAACACAGGAAAAATAATAAAAAAATTCTAGGATCAATAGTTTGTAAGATATAGCAATAATATGAATATTTTACAAAACATAAAATTTGAATTTCAAAAAGAGAAAAAATTAACAAAAAATATTTCATTGAAACAGAAATCATAATAAACAACTATGTAAACATTATACATCATGAACTTTATTATCCATGTACATTTAATAGAGCGTACCTTAGCACATTTATTTATTTATGTGTAGTAAATCGAACGCGTGGATTCTGCCTCTCCCCCTACACCCTTACCTGAAAAAAAACTAACCTAGCCCAGCCCATGTCCGAGAGGTGAATTATTATCTAGAATAAAGATTCATCCTTCGGACATGGATTGGGCTAGGTTAGTTTCTTTTCGGGGTGGGAGTACAGGGGGTTATGCCCCTCTCCCACTTACGCGTTCGATTTACTACACATAAATAAATTAATGGTGTCTGAAAATTACATATAATTCGTGGAAATGCTTCTGTTAATAACTTTTTAATAAACAACGATGGAATTTTTTAAGTATTTTTCCCGTATTTCTCGCTAAAAACCCTTTCGGAACTCACAGTTAAAACGTGGCGCCAAAGTTATCGGAATCTTGTCTTAATTTGTTCTATTGGATATTTATTTATATTACATCACAAAATTCTTTAAAAATTATAGAAGAAAAAAGCTTTAAATATTCTTTGCTGCAAAATTTATATACGCACGTCTCTCTTTTCACTCATAACAAAAATCGATACTTATCTTATCTAAATACGAACCTTTCTAGAATATTTCAAATTTTAAATAATAAGAAAATTGTTTTAAGAGAGCTAAAATATTTTAATTATCGACAAAAAGTTTGTCCCGGATGATAATAGGAAGATTCTTTCAACGCTTTGAGATATCGTTATCGTTAAAAAGCTCGAGCCGTTTACCCGGTTTCGAATACTCATCTCCATGCTATTAGAAGTTTGGAACTTCCGCGACGCCGTTGCCACGGGAATTCCGGTAACAAGAGGTTTTCCGCGCTCAATGAAAATTAACGACGGAATGTTCAGTGAAACTCAATGCCTTCGTATATTTAACACTTAAACCCGTGAACATCTACGTCATGAAACGCGCGTTTCTGTAACTCAATTGGCTCTACACTCTATTGTAGAAGCTCTGGGAATAACAGTGTCTGTTATTGATATCTCTACAAGCAAATTCATTGTTCAAAAATGTTACTGTTGCTTCAGACGCGTTAAATTGTGAAACGGGATACAAGTGTATTTTGACAGATTTATTCATACGGCTCACATGATTGAAAATGAAGTAGACACAATTATTTATAAAAAAAAATGATATTTTATATAATCTCTAAACAAGAAAAAAATAATTTTTTAAATGAGGACAACATGACAGGTTATAACAGAATCTATAGCTTGATCGTATTCAATATTATCATTAAACATTGTTAATTTATATTTTTAAAATTTATGTGGCAGCAATACATTCGAAATTTCTATTATGTTTTCTTAGAAATTAATTCTACATATATTTGAAAATTGATTTAATTCTTTAGATAAACATACACTGTGTGAACAGGCAAGAAAGAGGATTAACTTTGTTTAAATAATCGTCTCCAGCCGGTCTATTATGTCCACTATAAAATTAATTTGCTTTATCTCATGTAGTTGAGCGAAAAATAATAAATTCCACGCGTTTATCTCTGTCCGAGCGATTTACAGTAGATTAAAGATATGAGAAGAGATTATAAATAAAGAATCACTGGTGCACTTTATGCGATAAATTTTTATTATTATTTTTTTAGCAATACACAATTTATTATTTAGTCAAGTTTTATTTAACTGCGAACATCACGTGCATAAGAAAGATAAAGTACGTATGCCGAGCATGATATAAGCGAGATATAGCAGAACGAAAGAAACTAAAACTCACCAACGATCCATTGAATGCTCATTAATCAGATGCTGTTCTTTTTTTATGAGGACGTGGTCTGGGTTGCATAACCTTTCGATCTTTTCATGATGGATTTAACATAGACTTCTGCTAAAAAACCATGACGAGAGTGGCTTTCGTGATTTATGACTTTATCATTGTTTATGTAACGCATACTATACAACCTTGAGCAAAATCTCTGTCTCTGCACTTTTTCAATAAAAAATCATGAAATTGTTGATGTATAAATATATACTGGTATGTTTTTTTTTTGTTTTTCTTTTAATATGAGATTAGATATTATTTTCGCATTTGAGCGAACATGAATTACAGAATTGTGTATACATTCTGCATTTTGAAATGATTAAAACCGATATAAAACGCCTGCCTGATTGCACCCAAATCATTTGTAACATATATTTTATCCTCATATTATTTTATACTATATGAGAAGTTAAGCTGTAAAATAATTATATTAATCTTATCCATAAACTTAATTATGGAAGTCGATTAGAAATATCTGATATCTTTAAAATAAACACCATACATAAATGTAATATCTAATATTTTTAATCTGTTATAAAAAAAAGCACTTTACATGAACTTATTTTATTACATTAAACTAATAATTTACCAGGCGGAATTTTTACGATTAAAAATGTAGTAATGGCATGAAACGAAAATATCATTTTGTGAATTGAAAGCAAAAGTGAGAAAATGTTACGTTGAAATCATGGCGAAAAAACAAAATTGAGCGTTTTTGTCCTTATTGATACAAAATTATCTTTTACAATGGTTGCATTTTATAAATATGTCAAAATATGTGGACTGGCTTTCAGGAAAATACGACAGAAACACGTTCATATATAGAGTGCTTGATCCTGAGCTTACGTGAGCCCGAGTATCACGTAGAGAGAAACAAAGTATTATCCTTCTGTTCCCAGGCGATATACGACATGCTCGGCGCGTGTTCGAGCAATAGACCGGCGGACAGCGCGGAGGAGAGGGCGAAGAACATATTCGCAAAGATGGACGAGAACAACGACGGGCAGCTGACGCAAGACGAGTTCCTAAAAGGCTGCCTCCAGGACGAGGAGCTGTCGAAAATGCTCGCCCCTTAATCCCGACGCCGCCTTATTTTCGGAGCCGCCGACGCGCGATCGTAAACGAGGACACACACCACACTCTCATGATTCTCCCAAAACTCAACAACTACGGAACGTCAACAATAAGCCACCACCGAAATCGACACTCGCATACACACACGCCATCGTCATATACGTTAAACACGTACACGTACCAAACGATATAATTTCCAATTAATTATGACGTACGCTATTATTATGGCGGTTCGATAACCTAGTCCCGTCGCTCGTGTCCGATGGAAAGACACGAGCCGTGATAAAATGGCGGATGGTGACGAGGAAAATGATCGAGGATGATCGATAAATGAAAAGAAGGAACAGCGATTCGAATCGAGTCTTGTTCATTTGAAAAAGGAGAGATTTTTAAGAAGATGGCGCACTGTACGCGTGGATCTTTGTTTGGATGACAGTAATACGATGGTGGTAATCGGTTCTAGGAAAAGATAGCCTCGCGAACACACGGAGAACAGAGAACGATGCTGCTGCTGACGACGGTGGATCCAATTAGCATCTCGTGAAAATCTTCTTGTCCATTTTGAACTCACATCGTCGACAAATGACAATTCACGTGTACGGCGAATCTCGCATTCACACACTGGTTCGTCGTGCGAATTCAGGAATTTCCTCGAACCGTGGCGATGGAATTAACGGGGGGGAGTGGAACCATCAGTTCTTTCGAGGGAGGAAAGTGACAACGTCGGTCGTCACGGAGGATCGTCGGTGGCTTTCAAAGCTCGCGCTTGCACTGACAATTTGGCTTAACCGATGCTAGATGTACGGAATTCGCCCTCTTTCGTCGGCGAATTATATAGCTCCGTCTAATAATACAGACGGAGAGCATAAATTAATCCTCTGATGCGCTTCAGGAGATATAAGGACTTTGCATGGTAGTTCCATACAATTTCGCACAGACTTAACTTCGGAGGTATTAATATCGCGATTCTAATTTCACTCCGGATTTATCAATAGCACCCAGAAGTTCGTCAGATCTCGCGGTGAATCTTATTAGACGTCTATTGTTTTTGCGAGCGCTTTTGTCTCGTTATAATAGAGAATTAGTGTAAATAAATCAAGCGCATCATGAATTAACTCACTTCAACTTACTGCTGGATTGTTACAAACATCTGTTTACAAGTATTTACACAAGCACTTGATCTATAGTGTCATTTGGCCATAGTGCCATACAAACTGAAGCCCATTTTTGCGCATGCACATAAAGTATAGATATAGAGATATCTCAAATATATTTAAATAATCTTAAAATCAACTATACATTTAATCTGATTTGAGTCTCATGAATCTTCCGTTGAATCATTGCACGGCCCTTGTTTTTCTAATCCGGAATACATATATTTGAACAGCTCGAAGCCAGACTGTGATTTGCATCTCGTGTAAGTTATTTGTTTGATGGCCATCATTAATCTTCATTCCATTCCATTCCATTCCATTTCACATGATTCCACTACTCCGCAAAGTCCCGTTTATCAGATTTCGCTGCAGGAGTCGCATCAAGATTTACTTGTAACGTTCGATTACACAAAACTTCTAAATAAGATGAAGAATGAATAGAGCGCATCAGAGGATGAATCAGGATTAGGACTAACCGAAGTCGGTGCAACCTGGACTTGAAATTGCCCAGGCGATCTTATCATATCGCGATGGAACAGGAACGGAATTTCTCGCGTGAATCAGAAGAAGGTGAGTGAGAAAGTGAAGATCGGCTCGTCGCCAAGCCCGTCGTAGAATCGACGAGCGAGACTTGCGTGTGCGTCAGAAGAGAGAACTGCGACAGAAATGCGACGTGCGATCGCATGCATGTCCCACCTTTTTCAGGCCTTTGCCCGGATCGATCGTAGGTCGTAAGATCGATGTGTTGTTGCGCTGATATGGGCCGTCGGCCACCGTTCGCCGCGCGAGGTAGTAACACAACGAATTGCGCGAATTACGAGGTAAATGTCGATTAGATAGAGGGGATGGGGAGGTGGGGGAGGGAGAAATATCGTTTAAAGGGGCATACCCGTTTAAATCCTCGAGAAATTAGTACTTTTTCTAGATTTTTTTGCAGTGACTTGATAAAAATTTTTTATTTTTTTACAATATTAATACAATATTATTAAGTACTCAAATAAAAATTTTCAACTTAAAAAAATTTTTATTTGGAAGTTATGCGAATATTTGGAGAGCTCCTCCAATGGGGATCCCGCGTGCCACTTTTCGTCGCTAGGGACGCTAGTGGGGAGTGCATCTATTATGGCTGCCGGCTTCTCATATTTAATACAAAGAATAACAGGTAATAAGAGCCAGTGCGGTATAAAAAGCGTAAAAAAATAATTAAAATATATTAAAATATTAACTAAAAAAACAGTCCAAAAAAGGGACCGTAATGTTTGCTTGATATTTTATCTTTAGTTGATATTTTAATATTATTTATTTGCGCTTTTCATACCACTGATCACAATCTGACTTGCTGTCAGAAACAGACTCCGCACCATGCCAGACATTCAAGCTCGCGCGCCATTCCTTAGGTGTGTTTCCCACTAGATCTTGATCCCTGAGCTTGTCGTGTCGGGATCCCCATTTTAGGTGGTTGCAAACGGTGTGTATGAAAACATTCGTTTATCATATTTGAAATCAATAATATAAATTTTTTTATTAAACATATTAATAGCTAAGCGTTTTTTTAAATTAAAAAGAAAAAATGATGGCATGTTGAAAAAAAGTTCCGTTTTTTTAAAAAAAAAGTCCATCTTTTTTTGTTTATAACAAAAAAATAGGGAATCGAATTTAAAAAAGGCCTTGTTAACACATGCGGAATCTTATTAAGAACTCGCATGCAAAATTTGAAGTTAATCCGTCGAATGTAGCCCAAGTTTTCATGCATACCGCGCATGAAAATATAAATCTGCAAATATCCGCATAACTATCAAAACAAAATTTTTTTTAAGCTGAAAATTTTTATTTAAGTACTTAATAATATTGTATTAATATTCTAAAAAAAATAAAAAGTTTTTATGAAGTTGTTGCGCTGCAAAAAAGTCTGGGAAATGTACTCATTTTTCGAGGATTCAAACGGGTATGCCCTCTTAAGAGAAAATACATTAATTTTATATCGGTGCACCGCCGCGAGGGAGGCATCGTCGACCAGCACGCGCGTCATCCTTCGCTGAAATCGATACATACCTAGATGTAGACAGCTATTACGTGCAACGGATGTGAAATAGTACTACCACCCGTAGTACGATTCATGTGTACCGCGTTTGTCGCGAAATCCTCTGAATTTCCGCTGAACATGCGGTATAGATTAAGCGAGCGCCGTAGAGAACTTGGAAGGAAAACATTGGCGAAAGTTACTATAAGGCGACAAAAGCGGGAGTCAATTTCCGGACGGCTAAAATTTTCGTACAAACTACGCGAATCGTCTCATACATTTTCGCTTTGCTATTGTGTCGCTACTGTTCTTTCTGGGATTGCTTGTATAAGATGATTGTGTAACTAGATTTTTTCTGTCATATATCTCGATCACCGTGAGAAAGTCGTATAAAGCATGTGTAATTGGCATTATAAAAATACCAACAAAACATAATCGTTTAAATATAGCATCGGTTGATTTTAATCTAATCTTGATTGATACTTTGTCTTTTTTTAAAGAATTAAGAAAGGACAAAGAGCTGAATTAGGCTACGGTCAAAGTTGACTGACGTTTGATGAAATCGATTCGCAAGTAATAATGATTGACGTATTGGACACACGTATAGTATAATAAAAATGCGATATAACATGTTTATACATATATGTATATCGTCCGAAAATAATATTTTGATCATTATTACATACGTAATCGTTGCATTATGTCATAATTATGACGCGAGAAGAGACGAAATATTAAGCTTACTATCGCGTCAATCGATATAAAGAGGATCAATCTGATAACTGTATAACGGCCGTCTTAATCCAATCGACAGCATGCTGGTCGACGTTCACGAACGTTCTGACGCCTTCCACCGGATCGAAGGCTTCGATTCCTTTCTTCTTTTTTTTTTTCTTTCTAGTACATACACATATGTATATCTTTATGTAGTATATACGAAATAATAGTGCCCGCGAGAAACACAATGTGCACCGGGGTTAATGTGGTTCGCGTGTATATATTTTAAGATTTACGAACAAAGGTCTGTGTATCGGATACGTTAACGTAACCGTATGATGCTTTTCGCATGACGATGTTATGCTTTGCATGCAAATGGACGGATGGGTTATTTGCTGTCAGGAATCCTGTATCTTGCGTCAAGTCGGCAAGGTAAGTTATCACCAGGGTTGGGTAAGTTAATTTTTTTTTTTTTTTTAATTTAAGAGGGAATACCCATTTGAACCTTTGAAAAATGAGTACATTTTTTAATTTTTTTGCAACGCAATGATAAAAACTTTTTTTTTTACAATGTTAATACAATATTATTAAGTACTTAAATAAAAATTTTTAGCTTAAATAAAATTTTTTTTAGAGTTATGCGAATACTTGCAGAGCTTCTCCAATTTTAGGTGGCTGCACGATGTGTATTGAAACGTTCGTTTATCATATCAGAAATAAAAAATACAATTTGTTTTTTTTTTTTTATTAAACATTAATAGCTATCTGTTATCCAAGCCATTTTTTCAAAATTTTAAAAAATAAACAAATGGCATGTTGAAAAAAAGTTTTGTTCTTTTTTTTAAAGATCCATCTTTTTTTGTTTATAACAAAAAAATGGGGAATCGGATTTAAAAAAGACTTTGTTAACAGATGTGGAATCTTATTAGGAACTCGCATGCAAAATTTGAAGTCAATTCGTCGAGCGTAGCCCGAGTTTTCATACATGAAAATATAAATCTGCAAATATTCGCATAACTTTAAAAACAAAATTTTTTTAAGTTGAAAATTTTTATTTAAGTACTTAATAATATTGTATTAATATTGTAAAAAATTAAAAAGTTTTTATCATGTTGTTGCGTTGCAAAAAAGATTTAGAAAATGTACTCATTTTTCGGGAGTTCAAACGGGTATGCCCCCTTAAATTCAAAGTTAATGATCCAAAAATTAACTAAGTTTGCGTTGAAAGTTACTTAAACAAAAATTAACTTAGTTAATATTAAGTTAAAGAATTATTAATTTATTAAAGTTAAAAGTTTATTCTCTATTCAACAGCGAATTGTCACATCCTTGTATGACAAACTTGTATGACAAATGGAATATTTGCCTTACGATCAACCATTTTCACGCTTTAATATTTTAAGACTTTAAGACTTTAATATTGATGAATTAATTTAACTTGTATAAAAAAAGTTAATAAATTAATGTTAATGCATTTAAAAATAACTAGTTTAAGTTAAAAGTTAACACGTTTAATTAATTTAAGTTAAAAGTTATAAATTTTTCAACTTTTTAACTTAACTTTTAATTATTTAACTAGATACTATCCAACCCTGGTTATCACCAAAGAGTATTTTCGAATTGAACGGAATTTGTTTTGATTCTATATACATTCGAGTATTATTTATATAAAAAAGATATCGCTTTTTTAAAGTTGAAAAAAATATCTTGAGCAGTCAAAAATCTCCCTTATAAGAACGTTTCCATTCTTCTTTAAAGAAATCCCAAAATTTCTGAAAATGCTTTAATGCACAGAGTTAATAATGCGTATGCTGTATGCATATTTAGACATGATTGATTCCAAGCAAGAGAACGATAGTTAAGCCCGCGGTACATATATATGAGAATAAATTGATGATAAAATGTTATATATATATATAACATTTTATCATCAAATTATTCTCTTTCTCTCTCTCTCTCTCTCTCTCTCGAACAATAGTGTACACCATTGTAAATGTTTTAGTACATGTTGGAACGCACGTTGCAGATTGTATTTGTAATTGCTTCGTTACCTGTTTCCGATAGTTTTGAGATATGTCTTGTGGTTTGCACAGCCATCGGCGGTATCGGAAAATCTTTCTTTTCACTATTACTCATATAATGATTAATTCTTTCATGTGCACACACAGATTTTTTTGAAACTTTGCAATTTTTTTAGAAATCCCTAACATTTATATTTTAAAGATAAAATAATGAATGTGTTTAAAGATTCTTTTTTTTTTTTTTTTAAGAGAAGTCCGTGAATATTTAAAATTATTGATAATCCTCACATGATAATTTTCATCTTCAAAATAAATTAAATAAGTACGGGAATGAATTAAAATAAAAGATAATTTTTAATTTTTATCTACAAAAAATAATATAGATATTTTCGTATTTATGTATAAATTCAGCGAGACATATTTTCTGGATTACGTCGGAGAACGTGCACCGCAAGCTTTTATCGGGCAAGGAAACCAGCAACGACACGTACGAGTGATGTGTGCCGTGGGCTTTAAAAAGAATCGATCAAGCAGCTGTGTGCGATATAAGGGACAAACTTGATTTGAGGGCGCAAATGCCAACGATAATTGTTATCGCTATTCATGGCCCGTTACCAGACAACTCCGAGTACTCTTTTTGCCATGTAGCGTAGCAT